TCCAAAAGGAGGGATCTTGAATTTGCATTGCCCTTGTGGGGTGAAAAACAAAAACTCGCGTTGTGGTGCGCCCTTGGGCGTTCTTGGGGCCGCCTTGGGGCTATCTAAACACCTCTTTCAGCCCTTTTGGGCCATCCTGGAGCCACCTTGAAGCCTCGAATGGCCATCGGAAGCGACAAAAAGGGAAGGCCCCCAAAACTGATGCTCCAAAGATGATTGAAAATGTGGGTCTCTTGGGGACCTCCATGGGGAACTCGTTGGCCACATGGAGCCGTCGTGAGGCGGTCTTGGGGTTGTTTGAAGCATCTGGGAAGCAATCTTAAACGACCCGGCGATTTTTGGAGCCATCTTGGAGGCCATCTTGCACTCTCTGAAGCCGCCTTGGGACCATCATGGGCCATCTTGGACGCTCCCACTACCCGCGACCACCCCCGTCCAAATGTCCAAATCCAAGGTAAGGGGAGGGAAGGGTCAAGACCCCCACCCCTAGATAGCAAGCCGTCTAGCTCACCCCCACCCGTGCTCCCAACACATCAATAACACCCGAGCCTGAGAATGTTCAGCGGTCGTGTTTCGATGGACAGCTACTGGAAACCAATACAGGCCCCATGTGCGCGACGCTGGTGCGAGGTGCGCCACGCGTGCCAGGCGCGCCACGCGCGCCAATCACCCCTGGGGCCCGAGCGTGCCAAGCTCGCCTGGTGCGCCAGATGCGTCAGGTGTTCCACGTGCGCCAGGTGTGCCGCATACTCCAGCCGTGCCAGGTGCGCCACGGTCGGGGCACGTGCAGAGTGTGTCAGGTGCGCCGCGCACATGACAGCACTCATCGGGAAGCATGTCGGCCCACACCATCCTTGCCGAGAGCCACTGCCCATCATTGTCTGGTGGGGTGACCGCGCACGATCCAGATGTAGCTGCGAGGTGCAGGTTGCACGGTTTCTTGGTAAGGGATATTAGCCCTACGCACAGTAGGCAATATGCTGACATCCCTGCCAACCCTGTCAAACACAAAACAAAATGATCGCGGGCCTCACGAACATGACCCAAGATCTTGCCGCAAAGTGTACGTTGCATTTTTTGGGGGCCGAAATGGGGTGTGTGGGGGGGGGGCATCGGGTTGGCCGCGCATGCTCCAAATGCTCCAATGGGATGGTGGGACGGGGGGGTGAGCATGGTGTCCTCATTGTTCCTGGTTGGCTGTCGGTCGCTTGGTTGAGGAGGTGTATGTGAATAGGGAACAATGGTAAAACCTCCCTCCCCGCAAGGGAAGAAGCGGGTTGGAAGAGAAAGCTCCCTAGACCACCAACGCTCAGAGGGCTGCTGGGATTTGGTAATCGACGTGAGGCCCACGCGCATATCACAGCATGGCAAGCGTATCAAGTCGTAGCCAATGTACTGAGTCCGCCTACGGCAAGCTCGTGTCGTGGCGACCCCAACGTTGGTTTCTGACACCGCGTGGTTCGTTCAACCTTGAACGATCGGCGGTTTTCCTAAGTAGCGAGAAAATCCCACCAGCCGTCTGGGCATAAGTGATCTAGGGAGCTCTCTCTTCCAACCCGCTTGTTCCCCTTCGGGGATGGGTTCACCACTCCCCCTCACCCCCTCCCCTGAGCTCGGACAGGGGTGGTCGCGGGTAGTGGGAGCGTCCAAGATGGCCCAAGATGGTTCCAAGCGCCATAGGGAGTACAAGATGGCCTCCAGGATGGCTCCAAATAGCGCAGGATCGTTTAAGATTGCTTCCCAAATGCTCCAAGAGGCCCCAAGACCGCCTCAAGACGGCTCCATGTGGCCAAATATCTCCCCATGGAGGCCCCCAAGAGACCAATATCCTTCAAACACCTTTAGAACATCAAGATGTTTGGCTTTCTCGCCTTTTCGCTTCCGATGGCCATTCGAGGCTTCAAGATGGCTCCAACATGGCCCAAGCGGGCCAGAAGAGGGGCCCAAGAGATCCCCAAGACGGCCCCAAGAACGCCCAAGAGCGCTCAAAGAGCGCCCCAAGAGGCGAGTTTAGGCACTCTAGAAGGGCAAGGCAAATTAATGCTCCCCTCTTGCTGCATCGATGTCTCCCAAGATGGCTCCAAGAGCGTCCCCAACGCTCCCGGGAGCGCCCCAATAGGCGCCCAGACGGCTCCAAGAGGCGCTCGAAGGGCCCCCAAGAGACCCCCAGGATGCCTCAAGAGGATCCCCGAGGCACCCACGACGGTCAAAGACGGCCCTGGGCCCGCCAAGATGCCCCCCCAGACGCCCCAAGAGGCCTCCGAAAAGCTTCCAAGCGACATCCGAGGAGACATCCGAGCTTCTGGCTCTTCTGTTCGCCCTTTTCCTCCTGCTTCTCCTCCCCCTCCTTCTCCTCCTCCTCATCCGCTTACTCCTCCTCCTCCTCCCTCCTGCCTCCTCCCCTGGACCCCGTAGGGGCCAGAAACAGTTTATAATCTGGGAAAACGCGCAACAACCACAACCAACCTGCCTATGAAATGTTCACGGGGTCCGTCGGTCAAAGTCGGCCCCGCCCCATCGGGCCCTCACGAGTCGCCAACAAGCCCGCGCGGGCGCTCTCGCGCAGGTCCCGCCCCCGACCCAACGGGCAATCGGAACCTCGGGCCTGGGCCGCTTGACAGCGCTCGCGCTCTGTTGAAGGGGCTCAGGGACACACAAATAAATTGACACCAACAAAAAGGATTCCCCATATTTCCCATATGTCCTGGATGTTCGTTTTCCCCTCCACTTCCCATATTTATTTTCCATATGTTCATAAGAATCTGATCATTTGTATCTGTGCGTCTTTTTCCCTCCTGATCTATGCTGTTCGATGGCGAGTTCGGCAGACACTGCGACAACCGATATTCGACGCAAAACCCAAGGGGCCGATCGTGTGAAGATAGTGCCACATCCGGAAATCTGGAAAACACATGTTATGTTGGTTGTTGTCCCCGATCGCCCGACCGATGCATGTTGGACGCTTCTTGGCCAATGGCGGCGTTCCACCGTGAACGCCCGCGCTGGGGTCGCCGCCGCGTCGGCACGGCACGAACCTGCCGTAATCAATCCTGTGTGTGCGTGTCTTTGACCATCTCTGCACCTCGAACGATTTGCCAGCGGCAGCTTCGAGATTCTCTCGCGCGAGGCTTGCGCCATGAAATGAGCGTTCGGCATTTGAAGCAACTCACGATTCCAGTTCGCACCAGCGTCCGGAGTGCAATCGATGGTAAGAGCATCGAGGCTCTGCAAGTACCTTTACGCTCTCATTTTGACTCCTGCCCACAACCCCGACCCCCTGGCTTCGTGTTCGTGGCAGCCTCGGACAAGAGGCCCGTGTGGATGCTCGAGGACTCGGCCACCGCCGACGCGCGCAGTCAGATGTGGCAAAAGGGGAAAGGAGGCGAGGACGTGCTGCGTGAGCTCGCCGTCATTTGAACCAAAATCTTTCTTTCTCTTTCTTTCTCTCTCTCTCTCTCTCTCCCTCTCTCTCTCTCTCTCTCGAATGCGGCCGGATTGAGGGGCGTGTGCGGCGTACGGAAGGTTCGTGTCGTGCCGACTTCGGCGCTGGTTTTTGACACTGATGGGATCGCTCAACCTTGAACGATCGGCCGTTTCCGAAACATCAGATCGTTCACCATCGACCGATTCTGGGTCGACGGCGGCGTTCAACGTTGAACGCTGGCGGCGGGGTCGCCGCCGGTCGACACGGCGCGAACCTACCGTAGTCTTTCGTGGACTTTCCTGGCGCCCACCTGGCAGGTGGCCGCGGCCGTGGCAGAGAAGCCCAGCGTTCAAGGGCGCGGGCGAATCCATGGAGCAACTCGGCCCTCCCATTCTACAGGTATGGACGGCTCTGATCTTCGCACAGGGTCAGAAACAGGCAGGCCCCGTAGAATGCAAGGAGTGCTTCGAAAAGTATTGGCAGGTCGTTCTCGTTCGCCCGTCCACCGAGCTCTCTCAGGAGATCCGTGCGTGTCAGATCAGAGGCACTCGCAAGCAGGAGTGACTCGCAAGTGGGGGACGCCCTGGAGAGACGCGCCCAGGCTGCGGCGTGTGCCCGCACCTTGGCGCTTCTGGCTTTTGGAGTTTCTCGCAAGCCTCTCGGCAGGCCCCGTTAGGCTCCGTGAAAAAACAACTAGGCTTTCGGGGGGCGACCTTAGAGCAGCTGTGAGTCAGCAGCCTCCGGCTTGTTGAAGCTGCCTGGGCGACCTTTCGCAGTCTTTTTTTGACCACCTGCCGCCGTCCACCCAAGCGCGTATGCACGCGCCAGGGGCGGAGTGCGGCCCGTGCGCTCATTCCCAGTACCAGCAGAGGCGGGGACATGAGTGAAGCTGTCCCGTGAGGTCACTGAAGCGCCAACATCTTAGTATAGATGCCGAGAGACATCGACTATTGGCGCCGTAGAACCTTACGCTTCTTGTGATGACTCCTCCTCCTCATCCTGGGCGCGCGGCAGCGCGCTCGTGGAGGAGGGGGGAGGAGGAAGAGGAGGAGGGGGAAGAACCCGCCACAAAAGGAAAGGGGTACTGAGGAAAACCGGCCCTCGGCCACCTTTGGGGCCCCTTTCCCTCAGGGCCCCCCCTCGCTTCAAGGCGGTCTTCACGCCAGTCTTCCGAGGGCCGCCAGCGCTGACGACGAGCTCTGAGATCCGACGTCACGAACAAATTGCAACACTGTAAAAACCGCCCGCTATGAAAAAATAGCGACGCCAGTATCTCAGGACACCACCCCCTGATATCTCGGTTCTCTGGCGGCCGTTCTGGACTATCTGGGCCCCCCTGGAACGCCCTCGGCGGGGCGCAGCCGCTGGAACGCATCCCGAGGCTGGAAAACCGCCGAGGACCAACGAAAACGCCCGAAAACCTCCAACTTCGAGGGACGACGACGACGACGCCGACGACGCCGACGACGACGAAGACCCCTCCTCGGACGGCCGCCAGCGCCGCCAGCGCAATGCCCCGGGCGCCAGGTGCAGCCGGCAGCCACCCGGGGCTCGCCCGCAGGTGCTGCTCTCCCTCTCAGGCCGCGCGGGCCACTGAGAGGGCGGGATCCTCGCGGGGCTGCCGACAGACCTCCTCTGTTTTGTTCTCACTAGAGCAGCTTAGGCTGGACGAGCGTGGCGCCAGGAAGCTGGCAACAGCAAGCAGCAACAAACACCCGGTCGGACCACCTTGGCAGGCTGATCGGGGCGAAAAGATGCGAAGAAGATGCGGAACAATATAGAAACCTTCGCGGGGTTGCCGGCCGGTTTCCTCTTCCTCTTCCTCGCTCGCTCACCAGCTCCCTCCTAGCATAATATCGCGGGCGAAAAAAACATCCACATCCGCGGACTCACGGGCCAATCCTGGGTCGCGACCCCGCGGATGTCCCACGCGGAACGTAAATATCCGTGCGTCCGCGTATCCCTGGAATCGTGCCCTGGAATCGAGACCGCGAGGGCGCGGATACGGATATCCGACCAGCCGTAACTGGGGGAGCTGTGGTCCTTACCCCCCTGGGGGAACCCATCGCATCGACGATCTCTTGAGAGGGGTGTCGAAATCGATGGGTCCCCCAGGGGGGTAAGGACCACAGCTCCCCCAATTGTGGCTGGCTTGGATATGTTCGCAGCTCGTGAGAATTACCGTTCCAAGCCGTCAGCATTGCTTGCAGCAGCATGGCTGCCAATGTAGCGAAATGCCGAAAAGGGGATCGACCAAGGCTTGACGGGCCCGCCCCAAGCCAACGCAATCTCCAAGTTGACCCTGAGACGGCTTGATGGGCTCGAGAGCTGTGCTGCTGCTGCTGCTGCTCCTCGCTCGCTCGCTCGCTACCTGAATACGTCTGGCACGACCGACCGCATGAGAAAAAACAACACAAATTTTGGAAATGGGGGAAAACAAAACAATACGGACACAACGGGGAAGGCTAGCGCTGACCATCTCCCCACGAACCGTCCCCCAAGCCATCGTCCCAAAGCAAGGGGTAATGGCGGGGTATTCTTGCTCCCCCCTCTTAATTACCCCTCCTCCTCTTCCTCCTCTGCGGCGGTGCACGCCTCCTCCGCGGCGGAGTCCTCCTCCTGGCCCTCCTTCCTCCGCCCCATTCCCTCAAATCTGGCCGTCGCAAACACAGATCGTGACGACTGGCTGCTCGCCGTGTTCAACCTCCTGGGGGCCGTCTCTGGGCCACGGGACCGTCAAACATTTGCTCGGGACGAAAATCCCGTGCTGGGGAAAGACTAGGACTGCGGCTACTGTGCCAACCCATGCCATGGAGGCTCTAACGCGTCCTACGAATAGGACGACGTAAGCGTATGAAGAAAAACCTGGAACCCAGTGATGTACTGATATCGCGGGTTAGGCCCGCGTCAGCATGTGTAGAACCTGTCGTGCGGGTGCACTGGCATGCCATCATAAAAGGCTGAACTCTGGCCATGATGCTGCGAAACGCTGCGGGTAATGCCCACATGAGGTGTTGTATCATTCTCAACTCCAAAGTCCCCTTCTACTCCAACAACATATGCGTCGAGCTCGGACACTGACAAGCGATAACCAATCCTTGGCAAACTCGTGCGAACTGCTGCCGTACTTGACCCCTGGGAACTCTCACTCCATTTGTTATCTGGAGAACGTGCCACTGGAACCGCGCTGGACGCGCTTAGCGCCCTCGTCAGTATATCGAATATTGTTACATCAAGGTGCGATACATAGGTGGACACACACCACTGTGCGGTGGCCACACCACTCGATGATCAACACCGCTCTGGATCCGGCCAATCGCAACATAAACGAACAATCATTGACGAACGCGCCAACCCATCTTTCGTGTACAATCGCTGACCTCCTGGTCCGTGTCAACCACAGTCTCGACCTACTGGTTCGCTAAACAATTCCACGTTGGTACATTGGGGATGGTTCCCCAACATCATGAAACATCCCGACCAAGTTCTCCATAACCCACCATTCAGAATCCCACCAGCCCTCTGGGCGTCGGTGGTTTAGGGCGTTTCCTCTTCCACCCCTCCTTCTTCCCCTTCGGGGAGGGGTTACCACTGTTCCCTATTAATAAACACCCCCTCCCCCAGGCGACTGGGGGCCAACCAGGGTCCATGACGACACCCCCCCAGCATTCCTTGTAAACAACAATGCAAACCACACTCTGTCTCCAAATTCGGAACATGCGCAGCCACCATCTCCAAGAAATTCGCAGAGTACGAATAGTTGTTCCGCCCCATCGCTGCTAGCAGACTGATTGGAAGCGTCTAGATACTTTGACCTAGCGCGCCCGATGATTTCCTCCCGATTGCTGTGCAGAAGAGCTCTGTAGCTCATATGCAGCTCGAGTTAAGTCAAGAAAACCAATTCCATATCCCATAAAAAAAACAACGTGCGATTATGTTTCGGCTTCTGCGCTGGCAGCAAGCCGAATTCAGGCGTCTAGACACTTCAGACGAACGCGCCCGATGATTTGCTTCTGATTGCTGTGCCAAAGAGCTGTCGAGCTCATCTGCAGCTCGAGTTAACTGAAAAAACGCATCGTCACCTCGAAAAACATCGATGAACTTGCGCGGACCTAGCTTTGATAGCAGACCGGGTTCAGACCTATAGATGATGGAGGCGAGCGCGTCTGATAATTCTGGATCGATTAGGTGTGCATACCAGCTCTGTAGCGGTCCTACAGCTCGAGTTAAGTTCAGAAAACCGACACCCGATGCGACCCTCCCCCACCATCCCTGCCAACAAGCAATACATAGTACACTTGGCGGCGGCGGCGGCGGCTGCGGCGGCAGCGGCGGCGGCGGCGGCGGCGGCGGCTGTTTGGCAACGGTGGGCGGCGGCGGCGGCGGCGGCGGCGGCTGCGGCGGCGGCTGCGGCTGCGGCGGCGGCGGCTGCGGCGGCAGGCGGCGGCGGCGGCGGCGGCAGGCGGCGGCGGCGGATTGGCCCCCAGTAGCTGCCCATCCAAAGACGACTGCTGAATATGCGCAGGGTCGGGCCAGACCCGGGTGCTACGTATGTGCTGGGAGGGCGGGTGGGAGTGAGCGAGACGGCTTGCGGGCGGGGAACGGGGTCTTGACCCCCCCCCTTACCCCCTCCCCTGGACCTGGAGGGGGGGGGGTCGCGAGGTGTCAGGGCATCCAACTCGGCCTCGGCGAGGAAGCCTACATCAGTGGTTTTACTAGGTTGTGGCCCCATGTTGGCCTCTTGGGGGGGGCCCTCATTGTGACCCCCCCTCTTGTTTGATCGATCTCCTCCACGATGGCCCCAAGAAGCGCCCAGGAGGCCTCAAGAGGTCCAAAGATGGCCCCGAGATGCCCCCAAGAGGCCCCCCAAAGGCCCCCATGAGGTTCCCCAAAAGGATCCCAAGCGGCCCCCCGAGGCTCCCCCGAGGCACCCAAGACCCCGAAAAGCCCGCCCAGGAGGCCCCAAGAAGTCCCAAGATGGCCCCGAGATGGTTCCAAGAGGCGCCCAAAAGGCCCCCACGAGGCCCCCATGAAGAACCCAAGCGGCCCCAACAGGCCCCCCCGAGGCACCCAAGACCCCGAAGAGCCCCCCAGGATCGCGAAGAGACCCTCAACACGTCCCAAAAGGCCACCAAGAACCGCCCAAGAGATACCCCAAGAGGCTCCGAGAGGCATCCAAGATACCTCTGGCCCTTGTGATTGCCCTCATCCTCCTCCTCCTCCTGTTCCTCCTTCCTCCTCCTATTCCTTCTCTTCCTCCTCCTCCTCCTCCTCCTCCTCCTCCTCCTCCTCCTCCTCCTCTTCCTCCCCCTCCTCCTCCTCCTCCGCCTCCTCCTCATCCTATTCATCCTCCTTCTTCCCACTCCCTCATCCATCCATCCATTGCACGGTTCGGCCGTCCCCCTCTTTGCTGCCGCACTTCCCTGATCACCTCAACTCGCCTGCACATCGTTCCTGGATAGGCTGGTGGGGATACTTTTTGTCGGCAGCCGCGAGCGAGAGCGCAACAGCGGCGAGTCAAAATCCAAGCGGGCCGCGCGAGGGGCTAATTAACCAAGCAGAAGCACGCCAAGCACCGACACTCAGAACGGGATCTGGAAATCGCCGAAGAGGAGGCGGGGCTGCAATACTGCCCAGGGGTGCAACCGAGCAACGAGCTGCACTGACTGCCGTGGTGGCCGGCTGCCAGGGTCTGCAATAGGACGCGAAGCGTCTAGAATTCAATTGTTGCAGCCCCTTTTTCCGGGTCAGGTAATGCATTTCATTGTCCTCCGTTGCGTGTGTGGTTCAAATCGCACAAACTCCTGTGCACCAGAAATTCCGCGCAAATGCCCCTTGCAACTTGAATACGCAGCGACCAACGTTGTAAGTCTGTGAATCGTGTTGTTGGTCTACTGTTTTGCTTTGTTTTCTTTTGTTGTCTTTTAGTTGTGCCTCGTAACTCTACAGTCGTGTCTGCCCCCTGCTGTCTACCAGGTGGAGCCCAATCGGAAAAAAACACTTGGGGGTGGGACGCATCGGCATCCTGGCCGTCCTAGAATGTTCCAGAATCCAATAGGGACGCCAACAAAAGGCAAAATAGACCCAACACGCCTCCAGGACGGCCCCGCAAGGCCCCAAACGAACCGGAGAAACCCAGGACGGCCGAACATGGCGACAAGATCCCTCCAAGACGACCTAGCGCGACCCCAAATATCAGAAAAACCTATGCGGTTTCAATGCGTTTGTCATGTCTCATTCCGAAGCAGTTTGTTCTTCGTGGCCAAGACCCCTGTGCTGTCGGGGAGATCGCGAAAATGTCCCGAACGGATCAGACACCACGCTGGTTTTGGGAACCCACGACCCGTTTTCCTCTCAGAGCCCCAAGAGTATCCCGATGTAGCACGCATATCATCTGGTCACTCCAAAAGGGGGGGGGCAAGGGATGACCAATCGCCGCGGTCCCAGATTTTCCTTCGCTCGCATGCGGAAAAGTCGACAGCGACGCAGTGACGTTCCATGGTACACCGCGGGCAATAACATGTAGTGGTGCTGGATAGGATGTAGCAGGTGCGCAGGAGGCGACTCGTTAGCGCCGATAGTTCTATCGGAGTAAGAATAGGGCGCGCGCGCGCCTCAAGCAAAAATGGCCGAGGACGGCGAAATGGCGTCCATGTCCCGCTCCGCAAGCGCACTGCTCATCCCACACCGCGGGTGGCCTCATCGAGGCTCTTTCCGTCGCGACCTCCGCGACGGCACACTGCACCGTGGATCGAACCCGCTTGACAGTAGCTCCGCTACCAATTTCGATATGATGATATTTTCACCACGCGCGCTCAGGCCCCACGCTGGGGCCGGTAAAAAGGCTGAACCCTCCATCCGACCTCTCGTCGGGAGTGCTTGTGCAGAAAAAAACCAGCCGGGGAGAGGGCGGATGCCAGTGACGATGTTCAACACAAGGTTTCTGAAGGAGGTTGAAGTTCTCGCCTGTTTGGATTTTCGACCGCCCAAGATGCCTCCAATATAGTTTCAGGACAGCCCAAGGGGCTCTGACATGGGGGCCACCAGTCGGCCAAAGAAGCCCCCGAGAAACCCCACGATGCACCCAAGAGGCCCCAAGGTCCACAAGGGGCATCCAAGACGCCCCAAGAGGATCTGAAGACCGCCGCGAAGCCCCCAAAAAGTCCCAAGAGGCCTCGAAAAGGCCCCCAAAACGCCCCAGGAGGTTCGCAAGAGTCGCCAGGAGGCCCCCAAGACGCCCCAAGAGGCCTCCGACACACCCCGAGTGACATCCCAAGAATCCAAGAAGCCTCTGGCCCACGGAAGCTCCCCGAGCTCTGCAGGTGATACCGCGCTCCCCGGAAAACCAGCTCCCATTGGCTCGTTTCCGGATGGGCTGGTGGGCACGTGTTTTTTTTTGATCTGTGGCCCGCAAGGAAGAGTCCAGGGGGCGTGTCAATCGGGCTTACCGGGCACAGAGCCAGATAATTTGCGAACCCAGCTGTCACTGTCGACAGCCGACCGCACATGCAACATGCAGAACAAATTTGGGAAAACGGGCAGACGCTGGTGGGCACACGCGAAGCATTCAGAAACCACACTCCTTCCTGCTACACTGTTGCACGGGCACGGTGGCGCGGGATGTGGAGCAGGCATCAGGACAAGTATGTTTGTTCTTATGCCTCGGCTGCGCGCAAGAGTGACCTTAGGCAAGCGTGACCTTTGATACGCGGCTGCTGGGGGCCGTGGGGAACCCAAATCCAGGCCCGACGTCCAGTGCAGGAGGGACCCCGATGGGCTCACACTGAAAGTCACTCCAGCGAAAGGTCACTCTTACGCGAAATCGACTGTCGCCCCCCTCCTCGTGGCGGCGTCGCGCGCTGTCGGGCTCTCCCGAAGCCAGGTGAAGTTGCTCGTCTCGCCGAGGGAATGCTTGAAGCGGGTGGGCCGCCTCAAGTGGGCGAACACCAGTGGCGGCTCGTCCTCTCCAGCCACGGGCCCACACGGGGAGGGGGAGGGGGGAGAGAGGGTACGCTAGGCGCGGTCGCGTCACGTCTCACATCCTACCCCTCCCGCCATCCATTGTCATCGCGCTGATGTTTGGTCTATCCGCCGACGGGGGTCGTAGCAGACCTGGAACCCACAACAAAAGCACCATCGTGAAAAGGGAGGGGGGGATGGAGGGGGCCCTCAATTCAGCAGGGACGGTAATTATGTGCAGGGGGCGAAGGCAGAAGAAGTGGGTAATGAGGGGGCGCAAGAGACAGCGAGAGAGAGAGAGAGAGAGAAAGAGATAGGAACAAACAACAAAAACAAACAAGCCATAGGGATCGAACAACGAAACGAACATTTTGCAAGGAAAAGATAGAGAAACGGGATGGTGAGAGTGGATGCGAGATGTGGAGCTGGGGCAGCGAGCGGAAACGAGAAACAAAAAGAGAGGAACCCAAAAGGGGCAGATCAACCGACCCCCCGCCTGCAAGCGCTCCCCGAAAGACCCTGACATCCGACGTCGCGAAATTGCAACACCCTTACACCGTTAAGAAATGGTACGAACCCTGCAACCCATCTTCCTGAGACAATTTTCGCGCTAGATCGATCCGCGAAGGTCACGGGCCCCAGAGCGAGGCAAAATCGCGCGTCGTGAATAATGCGACGCCATGATCTCGGGGTCGGCCATCGCAACATGATAACTTCGGGTCATACCTCGGCTCTCTGGCGGCCGTCCAAAACGATCTGGGCACCCCCCTCGGCGAGGCGCAGCCGATGCAACCCAGCCAGAGGATGGAAAACTGCCGACGACCAAAGAAAAATCCCGAAAACATCGAACCTCGAACGACAACGGCGACAACGCCCGCCATCCTCCCCGAGCGGGCCTCCCGGGCCACCTCCGCGTCGCAGTTCCAAAAGCGGGGCCGCCAAGCCATGCGGTCCAGCAGCCCGCGCAGCCTGGCGCCCCCCCACCCGCCCTGGCCCACGCCCGCGCCAGACGATCGGCGGTCGGAGAACCAACGAGATCCGAAATCACGAAAAACATATATATATATATATATCCGCAAAAAGAAACCGACCGAAACCGAGCAAACATTCAGCCAACGCCCTCGGAAGTCCTCCTCCTCCTCTTCTCCCTCCTCCTCCGACCCGTCCTCAACGCGAGCGTTTGAATACTAAGGAACTAAGGGCGTTAAAGCTTGAAGTGTGACAGGCTCACGCTTGCCAGCGTGAGCCACAACCAGGGGGACATCCAAATCTCAGTGTACAATTCCCGAGACTTGCGATACACTATGGTATGTGTCTGATACAGCCTCAGTGCTGCTATCTATACGGTGCGTTCGCAACACACATACTGTAACTAGTGCTAACATGCTAACCACGTATCTCACCCAAGCACTTGATGCAATCACAATATGAGGATACATGATATCATTGTATTCCGTACTCAGGCACGTCCATGGAGAGCTTCAGGAGGCCGCAGGACGCCCAGGACAGGCTCCAGGGGTCCGCATGAGATTCCCAGGAGGCTCCCAGGAGGCCCCAGGAGGCCCCCTATCAGAACGTGTCAAGTTAATACACATCCGGTGTCGATTCGTTGATTTTTCCTGCTCGTGTGGGCCCCCCCCCCCATTTTTTGGGGCCCCGACGGCCACATGGTAGATATCCCTCCCTGGGAGCCCCAAGAGGCTTCAGGAAGCCCCAGGTGGGGTCCAGGAGGCCACAGGAGGCCCAGGAGGAAGCCCCAGGAGGTCACCAGGAGGTCGCAGAAGGCCCCAAGAGGCCTCGCAACTCGGAGCTCTGAGACGCCGCGCTCGAGGTGGTCCGGCCCGTTTCGCCTGAGACTTCCTCGCAGCACGTTTCGCCCGAGACATCGTCGCAACTCTGCGGTCCGAAATGCCGCGCGCGAGGTGGTCCAGCCCGTCACGCTGGAGACATCCTCGCAACTCTGGGCTCCGAGATGCCCTGCGCGAGGTGGTCCGGCCCATCTCGCCTGAGACATCCTCGCAACTCTGAGCTCTGAGATGCCGTGCGCAAGGTGGTCCGGCCCGTTTCGCACAAGACATTCTAGCAAGTCTGAGCTCTCAGATGCTGCGCAAGAGGTGGTCCAGCCTGGGGGCCCAGAAGACCACATGTTACATATCCCCCCTGGGACCCAGGGAGCCCCAGGAGGCCCCAGAGAGCTTCAGGAGACCGCAGGACGCCCAGGACAGGCCCCAGGGGTCCGCAGGAGATTCCCAGGAGGCTCCCAGGAGGCCCCAGGAGGCCCCCTATCAGAACGTGTCAAGTTAATAAACATCCGGTGTCGATTCGTTGATTTTTCCTGCTCGTGTGGGCCCCCCCCCCCCCATTTTAGGGGGCCCCGACGGCCACATGGTAGATATCCCTCCCTGGGAGCCCCAAGAGGCTTCAGGAAGCCCCAGGTGGGGTCCAGGAGGCCACAGGAGGCCCAGGAGGAAGCCCCAGGAGGTCACCAGGAGGTCGCAGGAGGCCCCAGGAGGCCCCCGCAACTCGGAGCTCTGAGACGCCGCGCTCGAGGTGGTCCTGCCCGTTTCGCCTGAGACTTCCTCGCAGCACGTTTCGCCCGAGACATCGTCGCAACTCTGGGGTCCGAAATGCCGCGCGCGAGGTGGTCCAGCCCGTTACGCTGGAGACATCCTCGCAACTCTGGGCTCCGAGATGCCGTTCGGGATGAAGAGGAGGTGGAGGAGGAGGAAGAGGAGGAGGAGGAGGAGGAGGAGGAGGAGGCATGTTTTAACATGCCATGCCAGCCCGCACTGGACGGGCACGCGATCGACCTTGGAAACCGCAGTGGGTCTAAAAACCCTGTTTGGGGATACTGCACTCCGGCTATAATTTCATTGAAGCTGGACTTTTTCCTTCGCGTCCTGATATCCATCGCCGCGCGTGCATCGACCCTATTCGAATTCTGCGCGCGGTGAAATAACAACAAAGACGCGGATCAGACCTTTGCGATGCAGAGAAGACTTGAAACGCACAGGAGATCATCATGCGTTGCGGCATGCTTCCGTATTGCTACGTTCATTTTGCACCGCTCGATATGCCAATGACGTCCTCCAGGGACTCCGCGCGTCAAATGGATACGGCATTGTGAATGCGTTGGAAAAGGTTGCCAAAGCAGGCGGCGACAAAGCAGAGTTCTTCAATGAACATATTCAGCTTGCAAAGCGGAATTCCTTCCCAAACCAAAAACTTGTGGGTAAAGTCATTTCCAAGGCGCCCAATCAAGCGTCTCATTTATGGTGCCGCTCGCCGCGTTACATGCCGCCGCCAGTTGGCAGCGTCTGGAGCGCCTTTGCGGCGTCGATCGCTAAAGAGCGCCGTTGGAGGTCAGTCGCGCGGGTTTTCGGGGCCCGCGGCGCGTGCCTGGGGAAAGGGGGGGGGGGGCGATGGGTTTCGGTGCCTTTGCGGCCTCTCCTGGGGATCGATCAGTCTACCGCGCCTGGACCGCGTCGGTCGTTCATCGAAGGCGCGCTTGGCCGCAGAGCGGCAGCGGATATTTTCGGAAGGGCGGGATGTGCACGCCCAAGCTGTATCTGCGCGGGAAATGCGTCCGCGGCATGGGCCTGCTGATTGGCAAGACGTAGCTCCGCCTTTTGGAGCGATCTGCTGAGGCCAAGACGCAGCTTCATTGCTTCAGCAGAAAAGTGAAGATGTCAATGCTTTCGAAAGGCACCACGAAGTTATACCATGTATTGTCGGGTCGCCCCTCCATTGCGACGCTGCAAGACCAGCGGAGGTCGCCATGAAACATTGGGCGGGCAACATTTCCAGAGCGGCTGACCGCGTTTTCAAGATTGCGCGGGAAGCGATCAATATGCTGCTTGATTGGTTGGGCCCAACTCTCCGAGATTCCACGCTTGGACTTGACGAGTTGTCAGCTTTTGTTCTGCGAATTGATAGGGGCGACACATTACATCTTCAACGGCAAGACGAAATCCCCGTGGGAGGGGCGAGACCAAGACGGGAGGAGAACCGCCAGCGGCGAAGACACTTATGACGAGTCAGGCTCAAACGAGCATGGCGAGGCCGGGAGCGACGAGGGCGATTCGGACGATGGCGCCGCATCTGGCGGGTCAATGTAACATACATGCGCTCTTCGCTGCAGATGGGTTATTGGACGGCCTTGGCGTTGCAAACGGCAGTTTCTGATTTTCTCTAGGCGTGGAAGTCGAAGGTTGGCGACTTTCGGCGCGCGGAGAAAAAGACGGGTCGCCGCAGGGGCGCAGGCAGCGGGGCTGGTGGGGCATAGGGTTTGTTGTTTTTCTGGGGCATGGCATTGCGCGCGTAGAACAAGCGGGCACGTGCGGGGGCGTCTGGGAACCGTTTCAAGCGCGGCGCGAAACGCCGCGCAGGGACCGTTCAGGGGCCTTTTTTCAGGCCCGGCACAAAGCTTGCCATGTAGGGGCCGTTTAAGGACAGCTTCAGTCCAGGAAGTCAAGCGTGGGGGCCGACTGGGGCCAAATAGGAACCGTTCGCAGCGCGGCATCAAGAACGCGCTCGCCAATTTTCGCGCGCGGTTTCAGGTGGTAATTTGCGCGGCTCCGACAAGTTCGCCCATCGCGCGGCCGGAATTCAGCGCCATGGGCGCGGGCTGGCGGGATGGGGGGGGGGGGGACTTGTAAGAAATTGGCTTGCGCCTCGCAGGAACTTTGCAACACCTTGCAGGAGGTCGCAGAACGATCGACCGAACAAAAGGGGGGGGGGGGGCTCAAGGCTAGGAGGTTAGGGTTTAGTTCTGGCTGAAGCGTTTGGGCTCAGGGGTTCGAGCGGGGGGCTCAGGTAGAGCTTAGGGCTGAGGGCCTCGGCATCAAGGGTTCGGGCTTGGGGGGAGGGGCGGGGGCGGGGGCGTAGGACCAACGGCTTCGGGTTCAGGGGTTAAGTCTTAGGGGGCCAGGGAGGTCTAGGGCTTAGGATTTAAGGGGTCAATGCAATAGTTTTGGAGGCTTCGGCGGTTAAGGTTTAAGTGTTAGGGTTCAGGGCTTCAGGTCTTTGGGGCTTAGGCATCAGGGCCTAGGGCCGAGGCAGCAGGGCAAAGGGCTTAGGGTTCATGGAGACAGGTCTTTGGGTTCATACCTGATCGGTTCGGGCTTAGGGCATCGGGCTTAGGGCCTAGGGCGTACGGTTCAGCCGCTATGGCTTAGGGCCTAGGGGTTGGGCGTAGGGCTGAGGGTTCAGGGCTTTGGGTTTCGGGGTCAAGGAATGGGGCTTCGGTATTAGGTTTAGTTGGGGGCATGGTTCAGGTGTTGGGGCTGTGGGTTTATTAGGTTTCAAGGTTTAGTGATCAGGGCTCAGGGCTGAGGGCATAAAGCATCGGGCTTAGGGCTCCGTATCAAGGTCTGGGGTTTGGGGGTTGCCGGCTTAGGCCGTAGGGTGAGGAGTTATGGCTCGGGGCTTGGGGCTTGCGGCTCAAGCTTCAGTGGTTTGGTTTTCGATGGGATCCGAGCTAACGGCTAGGAGCTGAGGTTGCAGCGGTTTGGGTTATACTTTTCTGGCATGGGGGCTGTGGCTCAGGGCAGGACTTAGGAGCTAGGGCTGAACGCCCAGGGCTTATGGCGTGGGTGTTGAGCCCTTAGGGCATAGGGCTTGGGCCCTTGGGTCACGGGCTTAGACCTTAGGGGATAGGGCTTCGAGGTTTGAGTTGTGAGCTTGGGGCCGAGGGCTCAGGGCCCCAAGAGTTAAGCATTATGGCTTCGAGCTGGGGGCTCAGGGTGCAGGGCTTAATTACGGGGGCTTAGGGGTTTGGGTTTAGGGCTGAGCGCTCAGGGCCCAGGGCAAAGAGGTTTGGCGTTAGGGCTGAGGGCTCAGGGCTCATAGGGCTCATGGGCTTCGGGCTCAGAGGTTAATTCTGAGGGCATAGGAATTCGGGGAGGGCTGAGGGCTGGAGGTGCGGAACTTGCTGTCTAGGGCTTGGGGCGTAGGGCTTCGGGCTTCGG